CCCCCTTTTGATGTCTCAGGCAGTAACCATCATCCTTTTTCCTCACCGCCTCCACTAGCTTCAGTGCAGCTCCTCCTGATTTACACCCCTGAACATCAGAGCAGACTCCAGCCCTCTGTCCCGTACAACCATTTTCACCTGGGGCACCTATATAACAGCTTGTTTTGGCCAGACACTGTAGATTGGTTACTGGCATCTCAGGAGGGATTCTTTATAGAACACCACTTAAACTGACCTTATTTATTTTTAACAACGTGCTTCATTCTGCCACCTCCATCCTTTCATTCTCTGACAAAAGCTAAATGTGGGGCCTAACACTAGCTGAATGCCCCTTTAAAAAGTTGGATTTCAATCTAGAGATATATCAGTAGTAAGAAAGCTTCCTGGTGTTAATTTTAAAGCACTGGTATTTCATGCTGACTTGGGAAATCATCCTCGGTTTTTGGCATCAGGCAGAGGATTTGGAAAGTGACATTAACGGATCTACTTTCTTTGAAGGACTTGGGAGTCATTTCTTGACTTCTGCCTAATGAATAAGTGCTGCCTTCGTTAAATTTATATTTATGGCCATATAGTAGGTCATTGGCTTGTTTTATGTCTCCAGGTTTATGGAAGGTTATCTGCCATGGTCACCTTGTGGCATCTTGGCCAGGATCATCTTGCAAAGAGACAATTGTATCTGAGCAGGATTTTTCCCATGGAGATATGGAAATGATCGAATTAATATAGAGGCGATGTCCAGGGATGAGGCTCTTGCCCTGAGCTGCCAGCTGAAGTTACTAATAGCATTTGTTTTCATGGTATACCTTTAGTTTGCCCTAGCAAGGCCAGATCTTCAGCTTCTGTAAAGCAGCAAGGCTCCATGGACTTCAGCGGAGCTGACTTGATTGATAGTTGTCCTCTGGCCTCTCAGGAGCCTCTCTGCTTCTTTCATTTCACCAGCTGATCCTCAGGGTGTACATTACATCGTATTTAATCTCTTAAATGTTCATAGGTTGGACATAAGATCTCCATGAGTCTGACCACAAGGAAAGCTCTTTCAAATATTATCTATGGGCACAGTTGCACAGATAGTCACCAGCACATCCAAGGTCTTTTGATAATGTTACAACTTAGAGACGTGCTAATTCTGGTCCAAATGCTCCTTTAAGGTGCTTTATGATATCCACGTCCCTCATCAAGTGCCTCCTATATCCCTATAGCTCTTACCAGCTCTTACTCAGCTCAGTTATTTAGATTCTGGGCCACAAGGGGCTTACACCCTGGCACAGACAACATACAGAGGAGCTGAGGTCTGTTACCAGCCCCACATGCCATGTTCAATTAATATTTGCAGCAACAGAGAAGACTGGCCAGCTGGATGGGGAGAAAGGGTGGCTGAGACAGAGTAACTCTCCTACCTTAGCGTAGCATGATCTGTGTGAAGGCCACAGGGGTGCACACCCTATTAAGTCATGGAGGAATAAAGCAACCTTCCCTCATGGTGTCCTTGTGCTGATTCGTGCCTCCCCATAACTCTGAATTTTAGCATGTGCTGTGCTCCAGCCTACAGTCACATGTAACCGTAACCCCTGCAGCAAGTTGGCTCTGGATCATGAGCCCCTTGTACATCTGAGTCCTTGCTGAAATTCTCATGGGTCATTAGAATGTAGGAGGGCTGTCACTTTAAAAAACACAGAATGGCCACAATTTCCTCAAATGTCTAATCTGTGTCTTGAGATTTCTGGATCGATACAGGCCATTGGCTTCATCCACACTACAGCTGGAAGCGCAGGCAGTTATGCCCTTCGTTAGGTTTAATTCATCTGGCAGAGTGAGCAGCAGAATGAAGATATGCTTATGGCTGCCCAAGCTACCTTGGCTTCGTGCCAGGGTACCCAGCCAGCCCTGGAGTCTGTGGCCCTGCATCTTCATAGGCCTTGTTGGCCAGCATGGACGCATCCATTGTACTGAAGTCACATCTTCATTTGCTGAGTAAACACACTCTTCAAACTAAGGAAGATGAGTTCTTCAGTGAGCTGAAGTCATCACTTTTGTTTTTAAGAGCTGCCAAGTTAAATTTCTGCATGTGGTGACTCACCACCACTGCTTTTCCCAAACAACCAAGGTAGGGTATGAGACTATTAATGAAACACAGAGCCACAAGCCAGGGGTTGCTGCCTCCCCATGCTGTCTAGTCTTACAGCCCAGGGATGCTTTCGACTGGCTCCTTTTCAAGAGCGTCCAGGGATGGTTAGGTCAGTGTTAAGGTCTTATGTGTTGGACCAACCATCTTCTTTACCTATGAGTAAGTGATTCCCAGCTTGGAGCAAAGCTGACTGAAATCGGGGGGGGAGTCTTCCAACGGGCTTGCGTGTGCTGTGAGCCAGGAGGAAATTACCTGCGTGATCTGGGGCACAAGGCAGCCTCCTGAGAAAGAAACACCTGGTTAGATAATACCCTTGCTGACAAGTCATAAAGACTCAGGAAAATAATGAACTCTAAAAAGCTTTGTGCGGGAGGGAAAAAAGCTGCATTTAAAGGCCTGTGGTTCCAAACCCTTTAAATAAAGCATTTGACCAGATCTAATATTTAATCTTAAAGGTCAACCATGATTTTCGGTGTATGTTTCCTAAGCTGAATGGCTTGGTTACAATGGGCAGTGTATGGTTCCAATGGCAGGTGAGAAAGCTACAGATGGGGTGAGGAGAGCAGCTCAGCAGTGAGCTGAGTGGTCCTGTTCAGGACATAGACCTGAAGGAGGAGAGCGGGCAGTTTGGAATAAAGGAACAGGTTCTGCTCAGTGCCTTCTCCCACATCAACAAAGAGGCAGTCATTGCTAATTGTCAACATGCCAGAGAATGAGCATGCCTGAGTCCAGCCTTAGCTGGAGAGGGAGGAAATGCTGTGAGTGTAACTCCTGAGTAGCAGAGACAATTTCTTCTTGTTCTATGAACAGAGATGAGTGCAACCAAGGAAGGACAGTTGCCTTTGGGCAACTCCTTTACTGCAGACTGAAAAAACAAAGTTGTCTCATAAAGACTTGTCCCCTGTACCACATGTCCCCTCACCTTACTCAGGAGATATATTCCACCTGATGGGACTTGGTCATTTTGGGGGATCCATGTTTTTATAATCCATTCTCCCAAAGGGGTGTAAGAACTGGTGTATCACTCAACCTTTCATAGCCATTCAGGTATCTTCTACAGCAATATGCTCAACATTTTTTTTTAAAGGAAAAGAGTTTTGAGCAGAAGTTAAAAAGGATAGAATTTAGTTGCTTCCTTTTTCAAGAAGGCATGAGTAAGTGGAAACAGTTTTTATATTTTTATAAATATAAAAAAAAATAAAAATAAAAATATTTTTATATTTTCCTGGAGCATCTACTCTTTAAAAATATAGCTTTGCATTTCTGCTATGCCTTCCACTTATCTCCCACAGGTTTTAATGTGTTCTCCTCACACCCCTTTTCAAGGGGTGAAAATCCTTAGGGTAGGGCAGTGTTTTCCCATGTCACATACACACATATTGAAGGACATGACAAAAGTCAGCTAGGAAATCAACCAAGCAACTTCTAACCTAAGACTGCAATCCTACTTGTTTCTTCCTGTGACCACCCCATCCTCAAAGTCCTGTGATCCAGTAATGCCCATAATGAACAGGAGCCTCCAAGCCTTTGCCGGCTAATTGGGTTTGTCCCCTCAAAGTCTGTTCTTCTCACTATTCTTCCTTGTATTTTGGGAGATAAGTGCAAGACTTTGCAAGCTTCCATCATGATAAATGGTGATCTTTGAAGTTAAGGTTCAAGCTGGCATTTGCATCTGTAAAAAAACACTTTGTCCATGTTCCTTGGGTCCCTAATAGTCACGTTTGCCAACCTCCCCCACGTTTTGATATACAGTTCATGTCTCTCCTTGGGTAGGTCAATGGCACTAATTTCCTTCTAAGAGACCCACACCTTTGCAATCTCCAGGCTCTTGACTCCAGCCACTCCTTGCAAGGAGGAAGAAGATGGGATGGAGGGGGAAAGTGGCAGCTCCCTAAGGGATCATCCTACAAGTACAAAGCCAGATGGACTGTGTAAATGTGGAACTGTGCAGCCCCAATAAATACAAATTAAACTCATAACAAGAAGTGAAATATTAGGGCCAAGGTGACATTTGGACTGGTGGTTCAGCCAAGCTTTGCTTTAAATATTTTATTGCTGCAGATAAAGAAAGAGCTTATCCAACACGTTTCTCAGTCTCTCTTTTTTCCTCTCCCTATCAACCAGAGGGGAAAAGGAAAAAAAAATATCTTAACTAGCTTTGGTTGTATTTGAGCTAGACTTCAAAGTTTCACAAAAATAAACAGTTTTAGGGGGGGAGGAATGCACACTTGTAAAGAGAGAAAATGCACTTTGAAGCCAGCAAGGGACTGCATGCCTTACGCAGAGATTCACAGCATCCTCCCTGGAGCAGACAAGTGGTGTCCCTCTCCCCTTCAAGCAGCATCTCCTCTCGCACAGGGGGCTGCCTGGCAGCAATGAGGTCCTTCGAAGGCATGGCAGGAGCCACTGCTTTGTTCTCTTCTCCTTCCTCCTGCTATGCCCCTGTTGTTTTCTGCTCTGATTGAAAGTTTCGTGTGACTGTAGCTGTCACCAGGATCTGAGTTTTCACAGCACCTAGCACAGCATCAGTCCTGGCTTAGCATGAGGGCTCTTCAGGGTTGATTACTGCAATGCCAAAAATCTGCATGATCAGTGGTGGGCTCCATAATTTAAGCTTGGGAAAGGAGGGGAGAGGTTTGTTTGCCTTCTGCTCCAAAGTCTCACAGGGTGGCAGCTGGGGGTCAGAGCCCTCCTGGCCATTACGAGAGGTTCTGTGCAGTCCTGTCCATGGAGTGAGCGACCTGCTCCTCTTCTGGGACCTTCAGCGCCTGGCTCCATCTGTCTCACACCACATGTTGATGATGGAAGAGAAAGGGAGAGTGTCTGTCATGGTTTAACCCCTTAAATCCTTCTCTTTCTTGTGTCTCCACAGCACAGAGCCCCACTGCAGCAGATCCCTTGCAGCAAGCCTACGCTGGAGTGCAGCAGTACGCAGGTCGTTAGTATTAACACTTTCTCCCAATAAACCTTTCTCTTCTCTAAATTCTTTGATCTCTGAACACACCTGAGGGGGCTGGGGGAAGGGACATGTTTGCTGGTACAGGGGCAAGGTTAAATTTGCGTTTCTTGTGAAAACAAACATAAAGCCCAGCGTCTCCTCTCCCTAAGGAGGCAGCCTCCTCCCTTTCCCCAGGGAAAGGCTCCCATTGACCTGTACCTTGGTGCAGCTTCATTGACAGGACCATGTCCAGTCTGCATAGCACAGTGCACAAGTGCAAAATCAGGCCACTGTTTTGGGGGCCGCTTTCTGTAACAGGTCCCCTGATTGCCGCAGCAAAGAGAGGAGATGGGCAACCAGACCCTGCAGAGCCTGGCAGGGTGTGCTATGTCTGCACATACCTGTATTTTAGGTTATGTCTACACTGGCCATACCCCAGCTAGTTAGTTTGAGGCTTGCTTAGGAGCTACACAAGCATACTCCTGGCTTCCCAGCAGCTTTCTTGATGGCTCCCAGTGGGCCAGTCTCCACTCATTTTGCCCTGTACGCTGCACAGCTCCTTTGCAGTTGATGGACTGACACCAGCCAAAGTGACCTGGTGCAGACCACGACCCCACCGTGTTCAGCCTCCCCTCGTGAGGTGTCCATGGCCAATGTTGTGAGGAAGCTGCCACCCCAAAGTCATTATTTCCTGTGGTAACTGGAGCAATCATGGGCTCCTGCTGAGGGATGGCTATTATCTCATGTCAGCACTGTATCTGGAAACTTAATTTAATTCTCCATGTAGGGCTTCATTTGCCAGTGTTTTAGTTATTGTCATTTATTGCTTGTGAGGTTTGATAGATGGAAAGCAGCTCAACCCTTTGAGCTGTTAATTAACCCCTCTGCACACACATGGCCCCTATCCCCCTCTCTCTGGGTTCACAGGCGACCTGTACTCTGTATTTTTAGCAGCAAGGCACATCATCTACCATCTGTGGTACTGAATGGCTCCCCTTGTCTGCTTGGTGGGGGAGCTGAGGTGGGGAAAATTGTTTAATTGCTGCACACTGTTTCCACTGTGTTTATGTGAGAGAGAGGATGTCTCTACAGACATGAAAGAAAATGTATATCCGACAGTGTATGCGCAACTGTGCCTATACAGTGTGTGGTCATACGAAGGTTAGAGTAAGGGAGGAAACACGTGTGAACTGTTTTTATGAGTATGTGAATTAATCAGGGTGCAAGAGAGGTTGCGCAGGGCAACGCGTGCACGCGCTCTGCGCGCGGCTGTCAGCATGGGCATCAACGCGCTGGGATCACGAACAAACGCATTTGTCGTGCCATCTGGGATGGTTCTGCATCTCTGCTGGGAGAGATCTCAGTGGAGATCCCCATTTACACTGCGTGGCTGACCCCGGTGTTACTGCTGACGAAGCTGCAGGGAGGGTGGGTGCTCAGGGCCATGTGGCACTGCCCAAAGCACAACTGTGGTGCCTCTGTCACATCTCAGGCTGCACGAGATGGCCCTTCCCAGAGCCAAAATGCAGGGCGAAAGTCCACCTCTAGCTTGGTATGATGGTTTGGACTGAAAGCTCCTTGCTTCCCAGCACTGAAATCTGTCCCTCTTTCTTTCCCTTTCTCTCCCCTATAGCTGCTTATCCTGCTGCTTATGGCCAGATTAGTCAAGCGTTCCCACAGCCACCTCCCATGATCCCACAGCAACAGAGAGAAGGTGAGTAAATGAGCTGTCCTCCTTTCTGGCCCCAGCATGCCATCCTTACCACATTGGTTCCCCTCCTCATACACCTAGAGAGTATCCATCAAACCCCCAATCACTTTGAATCCCTGGTCCACTGAGTCTTTTCTCAATTGCCGTATGAGGCACAGCATCATTGGCACTAACAGTAGCATGTGGGAACATCCTCGTGGGGAGTCGCCGCTGAGACCCTCTCAGTCCCCAAGGAAGGGAGCATGTTGATGTGCATGGGCCATGGAAAGACCTGCTAGCAATGTAGACGATAAAGTCCGGGGGGTCTGTGTTGGAAACAAGCATCAAAAATGCGGATAAAAATGCAATTGCATTGGAATAAAGAGTTTAATAGGTCACAAAGCACTGGTTGCCCTTCATTAGAAGGCAGTAATGTGATTTCAAACACTTGCTATTTAGAGAATGAGGACCTGCTATTTAGAGGAGCTGGTCTAGTCCTTTCAGACTCCATTGGTAATCTGGAAACAGAAATCAGCCCTTTTAGAGCACAGTCTCTGTATCAGGATGAGATTAATCATGCAGTAAAAATACCTATTTCTTTCCACTGACTATGAGAGGAGCCGGGGTTATCTAGTCTGCAGAACAGCATGGCTGCACCAGAGACACGAAAAGTAAGGAGAAGTGAATCTCTCATTATTGCATGTAAATGTTTTTGGAGGAAACCATGCCATGTGATGTTCCCTTTACAGTTGTGAGGAGCAGTGGGATCCTCACAGGTAAGCCACTCAGGTAGTCCCAACCATCCTTCAGGGAGTCCACTGCTCCCTTTTGACTAGAAGAGGAGAGTGCTTGCCTACGTGTGGCATTTTAGTCAGGTGCTTCAGCTTAGTGTAGAGACCCTCATTTTAAATAATTACATTTCAACTTTTATCCTCTATAAGATCACTAATTCAGATATATTCTGTTATATGTGTTATTATATATATATAATGACATTTAATGGTTTAATATAGTGTAACAGTCAGAGTGGAATGAATCAAGATTACACTATCAAACTAAAACATTCTGATGGCCTAGAACTACTTTGGGGGAGAAATCTCATTCTGCAAGAAAATTAGAAATGTCGGCATTTCGATCTAATTTGGAATTCATTTTTTTCTGGTGTCAGAATTTCCTGGGGAACACAACTTCCAGCTCCTGATTAGCTCTAGTACACGTCCCTGCTGTGAGAACAGATGCACAGACCTAACGTATCATTACAGAGATGTTTCCCCCATGCTGAAGGACTTTGCTTTTTATTACTTACTGGGGCTAGATTAAGCACAGGACAAAATGGCGAGCAGATCATTGCTCAGTGTAGCATTGTGCCAGGAACCATCAGAAGCCAGGGAGAGCTGTTGTGCACACTTTGCAGACCCACTGCCCAAGGACCCCTGTTTTTGCAAGGCACTGTGTGTCACTGTGGTTGATGGTGAGTGTCACCCAGTGGACAAGTTCTCTCATAACTTCTCACTTCTTCCTGTAAGCGGCTGGTATTGAGGATGCCATGAACCACCAGTCCAATGTAGCATGCCATTACCAGTGTCCCCCATTTTCCTGCAGTGTTTAGATGCTGTGGCTTTCTCTGCTGCTTGTTAGAGGGACAGCTCTAAGGCACAACACTTCTTTTTAGGAGTCAAAGGGTCAAGACCTTTAAGCACCTCTAACCTTTAACAGGAAAATGTAGCAAGAGGGAACTCTAATAATAATAATAAGAATGCTCAGTGCTGAGAAGAGCACTTTATGTTTGCAAGGATGTGCACAAACATTGATTCGTTAATGAACCAGCCCTACCACAACAATAACATCGATGATCGCATTGTTAATAACAATGCTAACTCTCCGCTCCCCAATCCCAGTAGGATAACAAGCCCAGAGCAGCTTGGCTGCTGTAACGTTCCTGCAGAGATTAGTCATTACTTCCACATGAGCGCTGAGGCTGCTGGCAGTTGATGGGGTACATAGGGTGGAACAGATCCAAAAGTTAGAGATGAAGTCTTGATTCAGGCCATGTCAACCAGTCAAAACTTGGGGGTAGTTTTAAATCTGTATGGTATTACTCATCTTGACGTAGTTTCTGAAACTCAGAAGTATGCTTAGATATTAAAATAAAGTGATGCAGACTTGTGACTCTCATCTGCCCTGTGCTGAAACATGCTGGGGACTGAATAGCAAGCAGATGCAGAAGAGGCAATGAAATTCCAGACTCTGAATATTTGCTGTAGAGGTGAGGTATGCAGCCGACTAAAGGGCTGCAGGCTAACTTCATACAACCCTACAGGGCAGCCCATTTTTAATTACTGTTGGAAGAACAGCCTACTCATAGCCTTTCCTTATGACACTGACTCACAGATTTGGGGATGCAATGATAGATAGCTGATGTCAGCTCAGGTATGTGGAGTTTACTCATGTTGATAGTGGACACCCAGGGGTAGGTTGGGTCTGCTGCTTCCCCATGCTAAAGAACTAACAATGAGCTGGAGGCTGAGGAGCATGGGCAGAGCAATGGCTTAGCGACACAGGCCCAGCGAAGCCAAATCAACATGGACCCAACACTGAGTTCTCTAGCACATGCTCCTGTGCCCTCAATCATGGGTTTTTCCATTATCCAGCATGGGTTGCCTGTAATTTACAAACCATTCATAAACCATATGTTCCTTAAAACTTTCTTTCTTTTTTGTCTGAATCAAGGCAATCTGTGCTTCTTGTGTATTAATGGACAGATCTATAACTTAATGCCATAAAACCAAGAGCCATGGTAGATATCAGGGTAGAAATGAAACTTGATTCTCTTCACATAATGTGTCATGAGGGTTAGATTTCGAGCTCACTTACAACCCTTTTGAAAACCGAAGTAAAGTGTGTGGTAAATAACTTTAGTACTGTATTCAGCCCTGAACTGCCAAGTATGCTGTTCTCCAATAATCCACTAACTCACTCCAAAACAAGACTTTTCTCTCCAACAAGGCATTTAGAGTCTTCACTAAGGTTTTGCCATACCAGCTGTGATACTCGTCTTGCTCCAGTGATCCTGACTGAGTCCTTTAAAACTCATTGCATGTGCACACTGAGAACTAAATTAGTTCTTCATTGCATTCTGAGCTGAACAACTCATGCCTTTGGTTTCTTAAAAATATACAGATATGTATAAAGAGTCAGCCATACACTTAAACACGGAGTGCCCGCATTAACATGACTCAGGCAAAACCCACCACAACAAGGTAGAAGAGCTGAGAATGAGAAAGCTTGTTTTGTGAATTACCAAGGACCCTGATGGTGCTAGGTGTCTTACGGATGGGTGGATTTAACAAGAAATTACTTGCTGAATTCTAATGGCAGAATTTTCATATATGAGGATGGTAACACAAATCAAATTACCCCAGGTTGTTTCTCAGTATCAGGTGAAGTTTTCAGTGTTGGAAATCACCAAAACCCCTCTGCAGTTGGGAACAGACTGAGTTTGGCCTTGACCATATGAGTTAGTACAGGAAGCCGTAGCATGGCATTTCCCAGCCACATTTCAGAGCTGAACTGGGCTTTGAGGATGGTCTCTGCTTTTTCACATGGTGTCTCCCTCTTGGTCTCTGAGCAGTGTGAGGCAAAGCTAATTTCAAGGTGAACTAAGGGTTGTACTCTCATTGAGCCCAACCCCTAAGCCCGGTGCAGATGAAGTTGTGTGCCTCCTGGTCTGCCTTATGCCTTAGTAGGTGTTTCTCAGCACACGCAGGCAGAATCCCTACTCATACACAGCACATCCAAGACCCCAGGAAATGCAGCTGGCATTTTTGAAAGAATTTGCCAGTTTTACAGAGCAAACTGCTGGCTCTGGTGATGTCAGTGGGAATTTTGCCACTAATTGCAGCAAAGCCAAGATTTTACCCATTCTATTATAATGTGGATCTCAAATCCCACAGCAGAAGTGCTTTGGGGCACGTTCAGATGAAGGAATGAATTTTTCGCTGCTATTCTGGACCATGGTCTTCTCCTGGGCAGAATTTGCTCAATTCTAACAGACACCTAAGGGGGTCGGTGTTTGTTTAACACTTTCAGAGTGTTTCATATCTAGTTTATCATGCCAATAACTCCACATTGTGTGGAAATGAACTGCAGCAAGGGCTGGAGAAGGGATATCTGCTCAGCGAGGAGACTAAGGAAGAGGCAGACAGGAGGTGGGGGGAAGATGGAAAAGCTTGGCATGAAATAGGGGAGCCTGATTGTGGGCCACTGAGGTTCAAAAGTAATTTAGCTAAGCAGATGACCGGGTGCCTAATTAGTTAATTATCCCACTGTACCACTATCCCTCCCATTTGGAAGAAACCCTGTTACTATCCTCATGATCTCTAGGAAATGCACAAGATGCAAAGGATCAGCTGTTCCTTCGTGACAGTCCTTTTAGCAAATTAGTAGGGAAAATTGTGCTTAGCAAATATTCATTAGGGCTTCATTTTCCATTAATCCAAAAGGAAATGTGGAGAGCCTGTGACTTCAATCACGCTGAGGCCCAGGAATTTTAATGAGCTTTAAATGGGCATCTGTCAGAATCCTGACTTCTCCGTACTTCTCCTGCCAGCCAGGGGGATGAGTAATGGCTAATAAAAGGTGGGAGCATCTAGATGAACTCCTCTCCCTAACAGGAAAGGCAAAGTTGTAATTTGCTGTGTTATGACACCATAATTATGCCCTGATGAAGAAAACGAGAGTATTAAAAAACCCTTTCCTTCCCCACACTCTGCCCCAGGCATAAATGGGGGAAAGCTGGCTCAGTCCAGTTACAGGGTTGTAGGCATGTGGGCTGAGGGGAAGGAGGAGACCCTCCTTCCCTCTGTCTTCTTACCATTGCAGCAAGGAGCACATGCTGTATCCCCTTCTTCTCGACCCCCCTGAGCAAAGCAGAGCTGGAGTTACCTGTTGAGGTCAGTGCAGAGCTGGGCAGCAGCTGGAAGTACCTTTGCAAATAAGACTGTGAAAAAACCAATCCCTCCCTCTTCAAACTGTATAGTTTTCTGCTAGTGAACACTGCGAGGGGTTTGAATGTTTATATTTTTCAACAAAACCACTTGGACACACTTGTTCTCTTGACTTTTGATCAAGTACAACATGCTTAAAAATAAAAGTCACATTGAAAAGTTTAATTCTAGGCTATTTGACCAGAGGCAGATCCTCCCTCTTCTGCCCAAAAATACAATTTCAACAGAACATTTTCTGAGGGTCTCTACTTTAACAAAACTGCATATTCTGACTAAAGACTCCTCTCTGGATATTTTTCCAAGCACCCTCTGAAGTCCGTAAGTGTGTATGTTACAGCATTGAGGCAAAAAAGGCAATTCCTCTTGTCTAGTAATTTGGATTTAAAACCATCTGTAATCTCTTTTGCAGAGCCCTCTAGAATGGGGGACATGGCCAAACTGTCCAGATTTGGGGGAGTCTTCAGGCTGAGTCAAGCCGGGGAATTGAATGTAAAAGTCTACAAAACAATATAAGCTTGTGGGTTTGTGCATATCTTTCTACTTCTTATCACAGTTCTCACACAGATACAAGGATAATGAAAACTCTGCATGCCGACTGCAAGAAGAGGCAAGGGTTAGTGTGGGCCACCCAAAACTCTACAGATTAAATGTGATTATGAGGAGCAAAGAAAAACTGTGAAACGCATTCTTCCATTCTTTTTATTCTTACTCCTCTATTCTGTCTTTCCATGGCCACATGTGCTGCTGCATCCCTCTGTCTCTAGATTGTATCCTGGTGTCTCTCCTGGGAAGGTTAATGAAGTTAGCACAGCCTCTAGGTGACTTTCTGTGTTCCTGGTCTTCTGCTTTGTCCATTCCTCTGAGAGTCTACAGATTTCTTCCCAGAGGTGACCCTCACATGTCAGAGAGAGGGGATGCCAAAGTAAATATGCACCATGTGCTTTCTCATATCCTATTTCTCTCCATTCATGGGTCTTCTTTTTCTCTTGATAGGACCAGAGGGCTGTAACCTGTTTATCTACCATCTGCCCCAGGAGTTTGGGGATGCTGAGCTGATGCAGATGTTCCTGCCTTTCGGTAATGTCATCTCCTCGAAAGTGTTTGTGGATCGGGCGACAAACCAAAGTAAATGCTTTGGTGGGTAAAGATAACAAAACAATTAGATTCATCCAGGAAAGGGCTTTCTCTGAATACTTTACCTTTCAAACTGCTTTCTTTCTGCTTAAGCTTTATGATTTCTCTCAACTTACTCCTGTCGATACTTTCCCCCTTCCCTCTTTCTCTCCTAATTGTCTCATGCTCAGAGTTGTGTGCGCTGCTTAGAGGTGAAGGTTGGGCATCTCACCAGAAGCAGGGTGCTGCAGCTGCTGGTGGTGGGGTGGAAAATATCCCCCTTTGGAAGGGAAAGTCAGGAGGGTGCAGAAAAGACTAAAGCACCTGGAGCCAAATGGAGGGAGCTTGAGGGAGGAGGGGGCAGGTGAACTGCTGATGGGGTCAGCAGCAGAAGCATGTTTCAGAAGGGGAATTTCTGTACCTAAGGAAACACAGGTCACGGGGGCTGAAGGGAAGACAGAGCTGTGGGGGCAACTTTCCAGCAGCGGTGATGCATTAGGCTGCAAGGAGACAGGGGCTGAACATCAGCTGAAAGCCTGGTGTTCTGGGGGGGGTGGCTGCTCGGTGGACCACAGGCAGCCAAGCTCGGAGCCTGCTGGACCCGAACCAGCACCACAGCAGATACAGGTAGACTAAGCTAACCCTATGCCTCAGCTTACAGGCCACACTAAGGGGCTGGGTTTGAAAGCTGCACCCTGCTCACGCAGCTCTGCCATTGCTGCTGGCTCAACCCTACCAGCTGGAGCATGGAAAGAGCCCAGCCTCAGCTGCCTGTGAACCACCAGGTAGGGGCATCCTAGCACCCCCAATGGGAGGGCTCAGCCAGCCAACAGCCAGGTGTGCATGGTGTCCCAGTGGGATCCCGCTGTTTGCAAAGGTGTTGCTGTGAAGGGTCCCTTCTGGCAGTGTGGCAGCATGGGGACCCTGCCACATTTGATCCCCTTGCTGGACTGGGGATCTCCCCCATCCATGTGCTCACCACTGGGATGTGCAATTTAAGGTTCTCTGCCATCCTGTGCTCTTTGCAGGCCTTCCCTGAGAAATGCAGCGGGACAAACTATTGCTTTTCTTTTCCATTACTTGCAGCTGATCTGGATTCTGTCTCTCAGGCAAACTTCCAGAGTTAAGAGTTACAGGAGTTTCATTTGATTTTAAAGCCACTCTCAGCCTCCACACTATGCTTTCCTTCCATGCTGCCTTCCCCTTCCCCCTCCTGGACAGTCACCTCCCAAAACTCTTACCTCATCCCTTGCTAGCTATGGTGCATGTCAGACAGTACTTCCAAGGGGTTTGTGCCCCTTTTCTACACACAGTTCCTCCTGCCCATTCACAGAGGATGTGAACAGGCTATTTTCCCTTTTGATCGAAGGAGCCTTGCCTCTGATATGAGAGGACACAGCACTCCCCTTCACCAGTAGTCATTGAGTTGCTGCACTCTCAAGCTCTAGAGGAATAAAGGACAAAGAGTTTGGTGTGAAGAGGCAGTTGGGAAATTCAAATGAGAAATTATGAATTAGCCCCATTCTCTCCAGAGCCCACCTGCTTTTTACAGCTTTAACCATATAAAAGCTCATAACAAGATTGAGCAGACCAGCACAGCTCTAGATGACATTGAAAACTAATGCTCCAAGGATACCCATGGGTTAGAAATGGACCTTTGGCAATGAAATTGCCATTCCTATCATAAATATTTAGGGGACTGCCGAGTCTGGTTCTCCACATACTGACAAGTGAGAAGAACAAAGCTAAGTGGAGAAATGAGGTGAGAGCCCAGACCAGTAAGGGTAAATGTCTTCTGGAGAGCTATTCACCTTATCTCCTCTTAGATCAAAGGCTTTCTGGCTACAGGGCTTAGGAGGACAGCAACACATGCCTATCTTGTGGGGCAGGGTTCTGGGGCTGGCTTTATTGCTGCTTCCAAGGCACTCTGAGATCATGGCCGATAGCTGAGCAGGACTCAAGGGATCTTAGCAGAAATTTTGCTTAACATTGAGTCTTATTAGGAGAACCTAAGCATCGGTTTGTTTGACAAAGTAACCTCCAAAACTAATGGTGGAACATTCCAGCCTGAAAGCAGGATGGTGCCCTTTGGATATGTAGACTCAAGCGCACAGGTAAGCAAAAGCAGGAATCAGAGATTGCTAGTGTATCTTAGTTACCTTGTATTAGCTTCTGAGACACAAATATCCAAGTCCAGCCAGTTTTGGTTCCCAGGTGTCAAGCCTCGGTTTTCTCTGTCTTTAACGTACTTTCCCATAGAGCTGAGTGCCTGCTGTGACTGTTGGTCTCAGACAAAGGTGTTGACTATGCTGCCATGTGCACCACCTCCAGAAGGATAGAAATAGCAGAAGTACAGGTAGCTAATTATCACAAGTATGTCACACTGCTCTTCAAAACCTCCCACCCTGCTGACCTTCAACTTTAAAGCAATGTAAAAATGTGGAGGCTATTGCAGAAAATCGGGCCTTTCATTTGTTTTGCTAAGACCACTGAAGCTGGCACTGATTATCGGTTTTTGTTCAGCAAGTCAATTAAAAAAAAAAAACCAAAAACTTTTTCCTGAAGAAAAAAAAAGGGATTTTGTTAACTTTGAAAGTAAGAAAACTCTTTCCTTTTCTTCTTAAACATTTCCCAAATCTCAACATGTAAAAACATAGCATTTGCATTCTGTTTCACTTTTTTTTTTTAACCCAGCTAGAGCTCTGCAACTGGTAGCCTGGGGGGACAATTCTGTCTGGCCCCAGAAAGATACTCCACCATTGTATGACCTTTTAAAATGTATCTGCTATGCAGATCCCAAATAAATTGCTGTAACAGACTCTAGCCCCAGGTTGTCGAGAAATTGTCAAGAAGTCCTGCTTTAGACAAACCTAAAAAATTCTATGGACAAAAATGTCACCATGTTTTTTTTTCCACGGGAACAGAAAATTTGCTGCTCTTGTCTCACTGTTGAACTACCTGTATGCAGCTGGAGCTAGCCCAAAGTGAGTGAGTAGAGCAGCATCTCTAAACAGGACTTTTATTCCTTTCTGTTTGTCTCTAAATTCTCCCCTGCATTTCCAGCAGAAAGTTACCCCCTTTGGCCACTAGGATATTGTGCAGGCAGCCATGGGAGCATTAGGAAGAAAGCAAGGTGAGTCACAAGCCTTGCTTCTTGTTTCTGGAGACCACGACCCTGCAGAGAACCTTTAGCACCTGCACACACCGAAGAAACCATGCTGTGGTCATGAAGCCTTCAGTTTTCCCAATTCAGAGTCTGCTGCTTCCTGGCTGACAAGGAGCAGCAAGGAATGCATGGCACAGCAAACACCAGTCTCATGTATAAAATGTTGAACTGCTCAAAATATATGTATCATTTTCCATAGCAGGACTGCTTACTGTAGTGTGTAAGACTACCTGAGAACCCTGACTTCTCACTCAAAAAAGTCATTTAAACTGGGAGGCTTCTTTGCCTTAGACTTTCCTTCGGCTACCCAGGCTAGACCCAAATCTTTCTTTTCTCTTACAATTCTTCAAACCTCTGGCTTTTGTTTTTCCCCCTATCCTTACACAGCTGTAGTATGTCCAAGTGCAGACCACACTTCTCCCTCCCAGTCACCAACACCCTGTCTATCCCCATGGCCTGAGCCTCCATCACACTGACTATATCAGCATCTTCTTGGGTTTCTCCTCAGGTACTGCCTTATTCACCCTCTTGTATTCAAACTTACTAATTTCATCTCCACATGTCTTCACTGTTCTGTCCTTCTGTCCTCTCTTGCTGGTCCTTCACTCAATGCCCAGATGAAACCTGTAGCCTCTTCCCACATGCTTTTTTTACAGCCAGCATATTTCTTCTCACTGGGACAGCATGGCCCAGTGAAATGGCAATCACTGTCTCTCTCAGGGAAAAATTACACTTAATCAGACACTCCCTGAAGACAATGACTCCCATTCTCACAACAGGCTGATCTGGGATGTCTTGCACATAGGCACAGTGTGTCACAGCCTGAACATCAACTTCTGCAGGATGCTGGAGCTGTATCTTGTCCCTGAGCAAGGCAGATACTGCACTCAGTCTCTCACCTTCCCGCTGCATGTATGTAAGTTCTTCTGTGTGTAGGTATCCTAAATGTCAGGGGACAAGCAATATGTCTACGTACTAGGTTTAATGGTTCTGGTGATAATTCCCATCTCTGTTACGCAGATAACATGAACATGACCAGTTTGTGTACAAGACAAAAAGAAAACTCCAGTCAAATGACACTATTAAGGCTGCTGAGGCAAGCAGTCAATGTGAGAAGAGCCGTTCTTCATGCTGCCCACACATGGTTAACTCTACTCCTGTCACAAGGGTGATCCTACAACACAGTTGTAATTTCAGGATCACTCACTGTTGTTGCGCAAGACATGTTTTAAGAAGGCATTTGAAGATTTTAAACTAGTGAAATACACAGACAGATGTGTTCTAGGAAAATGTTTTAACAGAGAAGAGGGAGAAAAGGACAGGTTTGGGCAATATTAATTAGGAAAACGTGACAGAAATTAGAAAAACGAGGACATGGATGGAGCAGCAGAGGCCAAATGATTACCCTAAGGTGTCAAATAAGATGTAGATAAATGAAAGCTGGAGGAATTGCTTTACTGGTGCACTTGGAAATTCATTCCTCCAGTCATCTCCTTCTGAGAGCATTGATATCTGCCAGCTCTTTGCACGCCACCGAGCAGTGGACACTGTCAGACCAGTCCTGCCCCATGCCTCCCCTTTCTCCCCAGCACATGCCTCCTTGGTGTGTGCCTGTTCCCCATAGCTGCTGCTGTGGCAGCTTTGATTTCTCCCCATGGGACAATGACTCTGGGATGCTGTGCAGGACCTCTCCTATGCCCACAGAGACACCATGGTTTCCCCCCACTCAGCTTGACATGGCCTGACACCCCAGCTGTGAGAAATCACAACTGCTGGATATTTTTGTCCTTTTTTATTC